CTGTTTGATTTTGTATTCTGGTCTTTTATGTCCCAAACATGGAAGAGCCACACGTTATGGCTTAACAGTACCTTGAAAGAACACCGCTAAAAATAGCTTTGGAAGCAAATCTGGAAGATCAAATCATGCAAACAGTTGTGGCTGGCCAGGAATATCTCACTATAACAAAAGCGATGGAACAAATGCACTCTTTTCATATATATTTTACATTACTGTTTCCATATTAAAATACTGATGGTGCCAATGGCTTTTTCCTTGTTATAATGAAGTTCTGGTTATAAGCCATACTCATTGTACTGCAGTTTCACTGCATTTGAGTGAAAAATGTTTTCATATACAGGGTGTCCCAGGAGGAATGTGCCAAACTTCGGGAGGGCGTTCCTTATGTTAAAGTATGCCGATATAACCCAAAACACCTATGTCCAAAGTTGAACGGTTACGGAGATAATGGCCCGAGAAAAGTGTGGTCTTCTTGCAGGTCCACGCACTATATGTACCTGTCAGCTGAGACCCTTATCTGTTTGTCCTTGAGTGCCGCGAGTCACACTAGCGTAAGCTCATGCGCTGCCTACAGATTACGTTGCGTTGGGGTCGTGAATGGGTGGTAAATTAGTTGTGTGATGAGTTGCTGAAATGCCTTTTGTGTTTTCACACGTCGAGTATTGTGATATGCATTTTGTGTATGGATTTTGCGGTGGCAATGCACGTGCTGCTGTTGAAGAGTACCAAAGGCGTTTTCCCGATCGAAGGATTCCATCTCGAAGTGTATTTACGCGAATTCACCAGACATTGCGTGAGACTGGTTCTCTTCCGAGTGTTTCTGTGCAGTCGGAAAGGGAGGATGTACAAATGAGAAACACACGAGAGAACATTCTTCGCATGATTGATAGAAGTCCGCGTCTCTCCACTCGTAGAATGGCCTCTCGCATCGGCGTATCACGTATGCAGGTGTGGCGAACTTTACATGACGAAGACCTGTATCCTTACCATGATCAAAGGGTACAACATCTGGAACCAGGCGACCATGCTCAGCGTATGGATTTCTGCCACTGGATAAAAGCTCATCCCGAACTGTTAAGCGTCATTTTATTCAGTGATGAGGCGTCGTTTACCCGGGACGGTGTAAATAATTTACGAAATATTCATACGTGGTCCCATAATAATCCACATGAGATAATGGAAACGAAATTCCAAAAGAGATTTTCTGTGAATGTATGGTGTGGTGTGCTTGGGAACAGGTTGATCGGACCTTTTGTGTTTCACAACAATTTAACTGGAAACACGTATGGAGCCTTCCTAAGGAATGAGTTACCATGTTTGTTGGAAGACATCCCGTTAACGATAAGGAGGAAAATGTACTTCCAACATGATGGGGCTCCTCCACATTATACTCAGCACGTGAGACACTACTTAGATGAATCCTTCCCTAACCGCTGGATAGGTCGTGGTGGTCCCATTGCATGGCCACCGAGGTCGCCAGATCTTACGCCTCTAGATTATTACCTCTGGGGCCACATGAAGACCTTAGTCTACGAAACTAAGGTCGATTCCCGAGAAGCACTGCGGAATCGTATTTTTGCAGCGGCAGAGCACATACGTCACCATTCAGGCAACATTGCTTCTGCTACCCAATCCCTCATGATGCGTGCCGAAAACTGCATTGCAGCTGGCGGAGGACACTTTGAACAATTACTATAAAGCAGGTACTGTATTTTAATACTTATGTAGTTGGCTTATAGCAGAATATGCAGTCAGTCATGTTACACCAGCGCTTGCCATTCATGTGTCATGTGTAGTGATGAGGCGTCTTTTACCCTGGACGGTGTAAATAATTTACGAAATGTGCATACGTGGTCCCATAATAATCCACATGAGATAATGGAAACGAAATTCCAAAAGAGATTATCCGTGAATGTAGGTATAAGAAGAGTTATGTGGTCGGCTCATAGCGCAGCCATATTACGTCATCGCACGCCAGTCATGTGTTATGTATACTGCTTGGAAACCTAAGGACAATTATGACATGGCGAGCGAGTATTTTGTACTTCAATTTTATGGCTTTCCGTCACTCACAAGTTGGTTTGATGTTACGTACATTATTAACATTACAGAATCCACATATTCCTGCCAGTTTTAATATCTATTTTGTAATCAACAAGTGTGTAACCCCGGTCAAAGTTTGACACTTCTCTGGCCATTATCTCCGTAACCGTTCAACTTTGGACATAGGTGTTTTGGGTTATATCGGCATACTTTAACATAAGGAACACCCTCCCGAAGTTTGGCACATTCCTCCTGGGACACCCTGTATATATAGTGTACAGAAAAATGAAATACACATTTTATGTACAGCGCATTTTCCTGCAGATCTTATGGTTTTCATGGTAATTATATTCAAGTGATTTCATGCTTTGTTATCTCAATTTGAGAACTGTTGGACTGATTTTAGTGAAGTATTTTTATTAGAAGCTAGTCTCACTTGCTGATTATCAAAGTTACCATTCACAAACTGAGGCTACAAAGACAGCAACAAAGCAAACCTACATAAACTTTTATCCTGGTTCCTAACAGGTAACTTCTTTACATAACTTCTGCAGTTTTTATGGATGTGACATGTAGACCCATTTCTAGACAACTCAGTAAACATTTTCCTGCAGCAATGAATACGCAGCCAATAATTGGATTACTTCCATTTCTGTGCAACGCGATACAAATACAATGACAGAGGAAGAGGTGTTTTCTATGGGTCTGCCTTGAGACTATGTAAGTGGTACAGAACTGAATCAAGAGAGAGAAGGAGAATGAGAATGAGGCAAGTCCTCGCCAGTCAAAGAAGGGTTCGGCTGAAGGCTGATTGTGAGTTGTAACTGATTGTGATTCAGAGAGACTGTAAAGGAGGTGTCAATAAAAAAAAAATGCAATTACCTGATCCAAAATTTGTCTTGTTAGTCACATACACCCTGAATATGTGACATTTTGGTGTCGGAAGTCAAAGGAAAGGACCCAAAGCAATGGTGGGTCCTGAAAAAAATTGGCAGCCACCTACAGAAGGATGACCTGCCATGCAGGAGTGGCATGGTGCAAGGGACATGGGCGTAAGGAACAAAACAAAGATGGTGTTGCAAAAGGAACCCAGAAGGGATGAGATGTCAGGTGAATCTGGAAGGCAGCACTGGAATAAGGAACCAAGAGGACATCCAGAGGGATTTACTGGAAGACCTTCAGGATGGAGATCACAAAGCAAATAGCTGGATCTTCTGCAACAAGGACTGGACACTGTGGAGGGGTCAGTCCCCTCCGAAATGGAAAAAGAGCCTAATCGCTGCATTAGCACAAGAAGAGCCTGAAATGTGGGAGCACCGGCCACTCTAGGTAATTTGTCCCCATTGGTTGGAAATCATCATTGGTTGGAAATAAGAAGGAAAAAAAAAGGGATGAGGGTTGTACCTTGGACAGACCTTAAGGAGGGAGCAAGGTGAGAAGTCCCAAGCAGAGACTCTGGCAAGGAAGGAACAGTGACGCACTGATAGGATACTTGGAACTAGCAGCCTTAAGGAGGGAGCAATGTGACATGTAGACCCGCTGCTAGGCAACGACTTGGTAAACACATTCCTGCAGCAATAAATATGCAGGCAACAATGGGATATCTTCCGATGCTATGCAGCGCACTGCAAATATAACAACAGAGAAAGAGGTCCATGATATGTATACAGTGTCCGTCTTACAGTGCATCCACTTTTACCTGTCACTTCACAACATGTTGGCACCATAGTGCCATCATCAGGTGCTCCATTTACACTAATCTATTGCATTGCATGCCATTATGTCAATGTAAAATTATTTAAAAAGTGTTTTTAAAATATTCGTCAGTTATAATAATTTTTTTTTATGAGAAAGAGGTGTTTTCTATGTGGTTTTCATACATCCATTGCTAGGCAATTGATGTATTTTCTATGGGCCCACCTCGAGACCATACAAGTGGTACAGGACTGAATCAAGAGAAAGAGAATTAGAATTGGGTGAGTCCTTGGCAGTCAAGGAAGAAGGGTTTGGCCAAAGACTGACTGTGATTGAGAGAAACTATAAAGGAGGTGTCAATAAATCCTGTCACCCAATCCAAAATTTGTCATGCATCAGTCATGCAAACCTTGGACACATGACAATATTATATGTTTCATGGTTCAGAATCAAGAAAATGTGTTTTTCATAATATCTTTTATCATTTCTCTGAGCTTGCTCACACTATCCAGAAGACACTGAAATATCAATGCAACTTTGCTGGTCAGCAGCTGTGGATGTTGGTCCATGTCAGTGATGCGTGATGTGAACATAGTCATTATAATACGTTTTAGAATATTCTGTCAGTCTGCTGATTGTCCACTCCTTGTCAGAGACGTTACATATAGTGTGAATAGATATTAACAGAATGGGCAAATTACAGCAAATGGGACCATTGTGACAAAGTTCAATTCCAGCATTTCAGGTTGCAGAATCTGTCAAAACAGGACCATCAAACTACTATTCAGATGCTTGGTGTCTATGGTTGTCGGCCAGCCAAAATTATTTTTAACAGCCTCTACTTTTTGTCCAGAACAATCCCTGAAGAGGTTTCACTTGAACAACCTCTTGCAAGCATGATTTAATTACATCAAATTTAAATATTTCTAGTAAAAGCTTTGCTGACACATTCTACCCAAAATCACTGTTTATGTCAGATAATTGCATTGTTATTTTAACTAAATACTCTGCTTAGTGAAGGAATTGATAATTTAAAATTATGTAATTCAAAGTTCATACTTTTGGCTCCAGGTAGTTTAAATTAATAAGGTTTTATTGCAACACATTTAGGGCTGTTAAAAATTATAATCAGTACATAGCCTAAAATTAGGATTACTCACAATAATCAGAGTGTCTTCAAAAGAATCAATTCTGATAACAAGAAATAAATACAACAGTATCAGTCCTCAAACTCAGCTGTAACAAATGTCGCCTTCTCTTACCTCCTTTCCTCCAGTAGAAGCTCTCTTGCCAGACCAAAACAAATGGGAGCAAGTTGCTACACCACGGCACTGGTCTGGCTTCTTAAGCAGCTTTGAGGCTGCCAATGCACATTGTGTCCTTAAGGGTTCATGGTTTTCTTCACTGAAACATGACATCTGCTCAAATGTAGCGGCAATAAGTGTGATGGCTGCTAGCTGAGCTTTGCTGTCTGAGATTTCATCTTCATACAGGGAGAAGGCCTAGAAGAATAATACAGTACACACTTAGGTCCACTCTGAAGCATCATTTCAATTCAGTAACTGACTGCTGTTACTCAGCTGACCAAGAAATTCTGAATTTTTACAGAACCAAAGGCTCCATACTGCAGGGAAAAGTTGATATTTATTAAACTAGAATATGAATATTCATCACTGTGTTCACAGAATTCCATGACTGAACACAATTCTGAGCTATCTGAATCCGATTTTCACATTTTTACATCCCACTTCTCAAAAGCCCATAGTCTGCCTGAATCTTCAAACTCTCTTCCTTTGAGGCTTTTTACCCAAATTATGCATTAACTTATCATTTCACCACAAATATTACATATCCTATCCACCACATTCTTTTTTATTAAACAATAAAGACATTATCAACAAATATGTACAAGCCTAATCATTCGATCCTTCTTCCATTTGAACATCTATGCTTCCACTAAATGTAACTTGTATTCTTTCTGGTAGAGTGCTCTTGATTCAAGTTCCTATTGCCATGTCCTTTCTTCAGCTTCCCATCACACCAAAAAATCTGTCAAAATTTGAGATTGAGGATAGATCAGTACAGTGGAACCTCGCTTAACGAGCACCTCTCATAATGAGTAATTTGCATAACGAGCAAAACAAATTGTAAAAAAAGACTCGCTTAATGAGTGATGAGAGGGGAAGTCCCGGATTGTGCAGTTGCTACATCAGTCTGTGTTTAGCACTTGTTCCACTAGCGTCTTAGTGTCGCTTGTGATCACACATTTTTCCAAACTTGTGTTCAGACATATTATTTGTGATTTTTTTGTGCAAAGTTAAATAACCCTTGCAAAAATGTCCCCGAAGAAAAAGCCACAAAAAGACAGCCATAAGAGAGTAAAAATAACTGTAGAAATGAAACGTAAAATCATTGAAAAGCGAGAACGAAGTGTGAGCATGGCTGATCTAGCACGCACATACAATCCAGTCAGCATCAACAATTTGCACGATTTGGAGTTACATTGTGTTTCACAGCGGAGGAGAGTTTGTCAGAGGTGGAGGAGGAGGTAACAGCAAAGCAACAATCTTCTGGCGCAATAAGAGAAATGCTGAAAGCATAGGAAACCGTTGTATTGTACATTGAGAAGCATCACCCTAATAAGGCAGTGGCTATGCGCACTACACATTTATTTAATGATAATGCTGTGTCGCATTTTCACCAAATTTTGAAGCATCGGCAAAAACAAATGTCTCTAGACAGCTTTCTAGTAAAAAAGAATTAGATACGTATCATAAATAATAAACTAATTATCTCGATTTTTTTTTTTTTTGGTTTTCTGCAAATCGAATATGCATTCCAGGTTGGTTCATTCTGCACAGAAGAAAAGATGAAGATGATTTACGTTCCTTAACAATGTATATATAATTTTCTTTAAATAAATGTTATATATAAAATTTTTGAGATTTTTTTTTTTCGGCATGGAACAATGCATTATCATATTTTACATTAATTTATATGGGACAAAATGTTTCGCTTAACGAGTGTTTCGCATTACGAGTAAGATTCTGGAACGAATTATGCTCGTTAAGCGAGGTTCCACTGTAATGAAATGAGGATACACAAAATGGAGTACCTTCCCTTTATATGGAAAACTTAGAGAATATAGATATGAATGGAAAATACATCTGCAAAGGATGAAACATGGATCCATCCCACCACAAGCCTAGCAATATTGTCCGCCGGGCAGATGAGACATCGGAAGGAGGGAAGGGGATATAACAACATTATATGCTGGAGAAGGTAATTCGCCTATGTCATGAAATGCTAGTAAGGGTGGTGATGATGATCATCATATAAGATCTATCATAAGCCATCACATAACTGGTCACCTAGTGTTCTTGTCTCTACAGCGTGAGTTTATATGATAATTGATAATCCTGCTGGCTGCAAAGTTAGCGCTGTAATCCGCTTTCTTCAAGCTAAAAACACGAATTCTGCGGAAATTCATCATGAATTTTGTGTGGTTTATAGCAAAAATGTAATGGGCAAAGAACTGTAAGACAATGGTGTAGACTATTCAAAGTTGGGCCAACAGATTCTCATGATGAAGAGTGAAGTGATCTGCCGGTCATCTGTAGTGAGTGAAAATATATGAGGGGCAGTCAAAAAGTTGCCGCAATGGTGGTATAGCACACTAATGGTAGAACATATGGCAATGCTTATCTAATCAGCTTCAAAGTAGGACCCTTGCGCTCACACACACTTGCTCCATCGATCCTGCCATTGTTGGAAGCAGTGGTGGAAGGCTTCTTTTTGAATCTTCCAGAGCTCAGCTGTCGCAATCGATTTGATGTCCTCCATGGTTGCGAAATGTGTCCCCTTGAGGCCCATTTTCAGAGTAGGGAACAGCCAAAAGTCACTCGGAGCGAGATCCACAGAGTATGGTGGTTGAGTGATGACAGGAATGTTTTTCTTGGCGAGGAATTGCTGCACAACAAGCAATGTGTGGCTTGGTGCGTTAACGTGATACAGAAACCACTGTCCCTGCCACTTGTTGCGCTGCTTCCTCCAAACAGCATCGCGCAACCTCTGCAAAACTTGCATGTAGAAATGGCCAGTAACAGTCTGTCTGGGTGGTATGAACTCATGATGCACCAAACTATCAATGTCAAAGAATGCGATGAGCATCACTTTGTCTTTGGATTTGATGAGGCATGATTTCTTTGGCCAGGGAGATGCTGTGTGCCACTCCGATGACTGCATCTTCATCTCTGGGTCGTAGGTGAACACCAACGACTCATCACCAGTGATGATCTTTTTGAGAAACGTTGGGTCCTACGTACTTTTGTCAAACAGACTGCCAGTAACCATCATGTGGCATTCCATCTGATCCGTGGTCAGCTGCCTTGGAACAAACTTCGCACTGACACTTCTCATCTTCAAATAATCAGACAAAATGACATGAATGGATCCGTGAGAGATACCAACTTCTTGCTCCAACTCCACGATGGTCATACTTTGATCACATTGAATCAGCTGTCGCACTTTTCCAATCATTTCTTCAGTTTTGGATGTCGAAGGTCTCTCACTGTGCTGGTCATCCTCTAACATCTCCTGCCCATTCTTAAACTGGGAAAACCAGTCGTAAACTGCGGATTTCTTCAGGGCAGCATCACCGTAAACTTGCTTCATGGCTGATTGCATCTCTGAAGCAGATTTTCCCAATTTGCACATGAACTTGATGTTCACAGCTGTTCGAACTGTGACACTGCGCCGAATGACCAACACTCACGTCTAATTCAAACGGAACAGTACTGACACTGCACACTGAAACCTGTCCAGACCTGTTGCGCCTGGAAGCAGACATGCTGAGCTCCCCACAACAGTGTGTGTGCTATCTTATCGCTCGTTGTTCGTCTGTAGGGGAATTTCGGGAACTTCTTGACTGAACTACGTAGTTCAAAGTGTTGATAAAAAATAGGTGAAAGAGAGCGCTTCACAATTTCAGAACTTCCAGAGCTCTACTTCACGAAATTATCACAATTAGGCTAGGCTATCTTGCGCAAGATAGGTTCCAAAATTGTTCATGGGTGCACACAAAATGCAGAAATTGGATTAAGTTTTGACTTTTCCAGAGTGATACAACAAAGGATGGCGATTAATTTCTCAGTCACATTTTACGAGCAACGGGTGATGAAACCTGGTTGCACATGCACGCACACATATATCATATTCTGCGTGTTCATACAGCCACTCAAAATAAAATTGGCCTCATCACTAAACCATATGCTTTGGATTACTACTGGACTGTCCTACCAAAAACATCTTAAATTCACCAAAGAAATCAAATCTCCTGGCTTTATCAGCCTCACAATGGGCTTGTTGCATCTGAGTCCTGTATGACTGGTATTGGCAGCTCTTTCTCCAGCAATAAAGCAGCAGGGGCATGAAGCTCACCATTCGCCTCCATCTAGTACCATGGTTAAGAACAGTGGAGCCATAACTCCAGTCCCCCATATGTCTTCATGGCACAGTGCTTCATTAATTAAGCACAGGGACAAATTAACCTTTTTATATACAGTTTCATATCTTCTAGAATTATCCTGTATATCAATCATGCTCCTAAGGTGAGTTCTTAGAAAGATATTTTAAGGATTTTCTGGAACTCTGCATCAACATTGCTGAACACCATGAATGTTTCCTGGTGTTCTGACAAACTTCATCTTACCAACAACACCCTTTTTATTGTTGATCACACACCCCGTCATTTTAAACTTGTTAACCAATCTGTTTATTGCAGACATGCCTGGTGCTTTCCTAAACTCAAATTTCATTCAGCACTGACATTGAATCACGGTATCGCTAGTAGTCTTGTAAAATATTTTCACTAATATGCATACTGTTCAATTGGGTATGTCATCTGGATCATTGCTGCTTCATAATGTTGACACGAGGGGCAGCACATTCTGCCAAGACTAATGAATTCAGACACCAAATGCAGCTATGCCTGCTATGTGGCTAGATAATTACATGTAATTAAAAATGGAGTGTCTTTTTAGAAAAACCTTGTACAAATTGCTGTGGAAAACCAAGGTTATTAATGATATGTGGCATGCAATCTTCCTTGAGCACCTTATACCCATACACATTAGTGTACTTACCACTCAACAGTACGATATTTTAAACACACCCAGTTAAATTCTGCAACATCACATACAACAGCCAAAATATATACCACTGTAATAAACTCAACATGTTTCAAGATCAAAGAAATGATAAAATTCTAGCATTCTTAGGACACTTCAACACATTAATGTACAAATAACTTAAGCGGTATAATGTGTAATACTAGCACTGTAAACTTGACTACAGTAGAGTGGCTGCCTGCTCTTCCACCCCACCTACTCTACATGGCCTGTACTGGTAGACTCTAATCTTCGACACTTGCGGGGTGAATAAGCAAGGGGAGGGACGATTGGACTCTCAAGGGGAGAAGGGATGGAAACACATCCACCATGTATAGCATGAGTTCAGAACATAGTGGCCACTAATGTACTTGTATAGTGCTCAAATTAACAGAACTAATGTGTTTTGTCTCAAGTAGTAGTAGCTGACCCAGGTCACTAACTTGCTTTTAATGGTTCCAACTTCCTGAATTCCTTAAAACTCTTAAGTTTAAAGTCTTGTACTGAAGATGGTGGCCACTGGTAGGAGTTGAGAAGGTATACTAAGGGAGGCAGCTACTAGGCAGATGAGTGGAGGGGAAAATCTGTGTCAGTTCTTTTGCTGACTTGACTAAAGCTTATAAACTGTATGACGCTGCTGATAATAAGTCTTAGGATTCAAAACAAGTAGGATATTTTGTAACAATATATATTATGAATACTGTATTTTATGGTTATTGAATTAAACTGATGCTAGAAATAAAATGGTATGACCTTCAATGTGAAAACAAATATGCCTACTTTCAAGTTCATTATTATTATTCATTAAAAATGGCCAAATGAAGGTCAATTCATATCTTTATAGTAAAGCTTTCAACAACAAACCTGGGACATGAATTCATATGCAACTGTCTCATAGTTCTCAAATTCCATTAGTCCAACTGCAATTGCTCCCTGAAGAAAGAGTCGCAAAGGGAGTTCTGCCAGCTCTGCTGTGATAAGAGCAGTGATTGTTTGGTGACAGAACTGGAAAATCTTCTGACATTTTTTTTCCCACATTTCATCCTGGAAAGATAACAAAGTTAAAACAAAAACAGGTATTTTAACAGGAAGAAACACCACAAAAATATGGAATTTTGAAGCAAAAGACACATTTAGAATAAGGTCTGACTGGCTCCTAAATAGTTTTAAAATAACCCACAAGAAGAAAATATTTTTTTTTATCGCTAGTGGGGTGGGACTAAGTCCCTTGTACTGCGGCCACTTCTGGCCTATTGCACCAGCCCCAGATGATAGGTGAGGGTGATTGTGGAGCAATTGGTGGAATGAAGATTGGCAGGGGAAACCGAAGTACTTCGACAAAACCTGCCACAGTGCCACTTTGTCCACCACAAATTCCACTTGACCACACCCACGATTGAATCCTGGACGCTGCGGTAGGAAACCAGCGACTAACTGCTTACGCGATGGAGTGGCCGTAGAAAATACTAAGGTAACTAAAACAAATCTCTGTCTTGTATTACAGTAATGAGCCTACGAGGCATAAAATAGAAGTATGATGATGATGATGATGATGATGATATGGATGACAATATCTTTGTGTTTGTGTGTGTGTGTGTTTGCATGTTCAGGCAAAATGGTAAATAAGCATCTGAAACAGTGTAGCACATGTTCATGGAAAACTGCTGTTTATCTCATAGCAGTATGTAAGGGTAAAAATAGTTTCTAGGCAACAGAAATGACTGAAGATGAACCCTGCAGTGATAGACAAATTCAGGATCATTTCTCTATAGTAAAAAAAGTAAAAAGTAAAGCTATTCCTGTAACAGGCCTGTGAAGGCCCATAGGGTTGTGAGACATTGAGGGTCCCACATTATCTAGACAGGCTAAAAGATGGCAGTAAGGTTGTCAGCCGTATGTGTCTGACGTGCTTTACTACCCAGGAAAAGTATTTAATTAATTCTTGGTACTCATTTCTGTTAGAGGCCGAGTCGACCCTGGGGCCATAGTGCAGCTGGAAGGTTTAGGTCAACTGAAGAAAATCCAATGACCTCTGAAAGAATAAGATTGTTGAAATGTCTTCTTCTAACCAAAAAACAGGAAAACACATTATTCATGAACACACATATTTAGTCTACCATAACAATCTATGAATATCACTCTTAGATATGCAAATAGAGACGACCTTGAGGAAAAACTTTATAGTTCGTTCATCGCATTCGCCAGAACTACAGACCTTAAAATGTTATTTTTATATTTTCAGAAGTGAAGAATAAGCTATGACACTTATAAATGCTGTGAGTATAATGGTTAGGAACATGAAGAATGTTTTGAAGAGTAATAAATAAATGTTCATTTTTTCCTAGACGATGTTACTTTCCAATTATCAATCATACTTACTTCATTTCGGAGTGCCCTATATTTGAAGGCAAGTTGATATGCTTGAAAAACTATAGGAGGTAGTGTGTATTTGATGCGCCGCTTTGCTCCAGCTCCAAAATGTTTCCGTGCTGTACTGAGGATCAGGTACTGTTGGTCAGGAATGTCTGAGCGTAGGTGGTGAATAAACCTGCACATATACATTTCATAAAATGAAAAGGAGCAAATACAAGAAACCATAGACATGGAGGTGTGGAATGAATACAAGAAATAAAAGTTACACTAGAGAACACAAGGACATGCTCTGACTGATCTGCTTTCAGTTTCAGAGGGATGAATTCTATCTGCCCACTGCAGCATCAGTATCATAATATTTTTATGTGTCTAATTTCTTAACCATATGACCTAATCTTGTAAACGAAAGTATACAAAAATCAAGGTTATTGATTTAACTATCAATTAAACATAAACTTCGTATTACTTCTTGAAAGTTACATAAATGTCTTCAACCCTCTCAAGTTCAACTGGCACAAACATGGCTGCTTCCATATAACACTGCAAACGATCCTTTACTGAATGGGCAAGATTCATATCAGTCATGATGGCACACTTCAATTAACCTTTAAGTGTCAAAGTGCCCTGTTCAGACCAGTGATGAGTATGGTCATCGTGGCCAAAGTACCCCGTTTTGGACAGTCGGGCATTTAAACTCTGCTAGTAGAAGCGTGTGCACATGCCACGAGTAGAAGCGCATGCACAGTCCTAAATATTTATTTTTAAATGTGGTAATTACCAGACAGACTTGAGTAAAACCATAATAGAGGAATTAAAATTATATCTAAGTGAACAACAGCAAAAAAGAATATACATATGAGTTATGCCCCAAATCATCCACGAGCCAGTACTTCTATTGCAGATTCTTCAGATTAATGTGTTACAAATATATAGTACAATTCGATGTAAATACCTTTTTTGTTATCTGCTTGATGTATATAGGCTGAAATGAAATTATAGTATTCGATTTCACTATGAACGCTCAGAAAACAGATCGAACTCTGTATCTAAGCCACGATGCAACTGTCTGTTCACACCCATAGAAAGGTCAATAATCTCTTTCAGCTATAACAGAAGGTCTTAGCACTGAAGAAGGGATCCCTCTAGCTTTCTTTTAAATAGCCATTCTTTCATTCTTCTGTCCTTTAGTCAAAAGATTCGAAAATCCGAAGAGTGTAAGCAGTGCTAGCAGAAGGCCAAATGATTTTATTGTTTCCATCTGTTTTATGACACCAGGGACTGCTAAAATTTGTCAAGCGTTACAAACAGAAATGAATTTATAATGCAGAACAACTCTGTGAAGAACTGGGAAACCATTTTTGCAGTGCACATCAAAATTAAAAGAAAAAAACTGAAAATAGAGTATAACTCTTTGTATAAAAATTTTCAAATCTTCCGTTATAATATGCGACACTGCTCTTTGCTGATACAAATAAAGTTAATTCCATTCATTTATCATAAAAATTGAGTTAGACACAGCATTTTTAAACACAATGCTTAAAACTGTTTAAGCGTCCTAAGAGGACATTTAAATGCAGAGTAGCAATGGGCATTTAAATAAACTCTGGCCAACTCAAGCTTACCATAATTTCAGAAGTCTAGCGTTTAAAGGTTAAGTCTTACTAGGCTATTAGTCATATTATAAAATTCTAATATTTCAAAGACTCCTTCTGCTTCGATCACCAGCCACAAAAGCAGTACTGACCTCCCCAGTAAGCCCTGTTCCTCAGCAAAATCCTCTGGATCTTCTTCTCCAGGAGGCTGGTCTAACTGATCTTGGATTAATGATGAAAGCATTGTCAGAACAGCATCAACCTGAACAAATACAACATCAAATATTATAATTACCACCTGCAGAATACTGCAACATATAAATCCATTGCTAGGAAATAGCTTGTTGAAACACATCCCTGAGGTTGTGACAGAGACCTTGATTCCTAGGCAACAAGTACAGAAACATTTCTGTTACAACGGCTATGTTGTTCACACAGCAATGAATGACAAGTTTCAATCACAACCACAAAAATGAAGAAGGGTATTGCTGAATGGAGTGTTTCATATCTGGTCGGCATGAAGCCAGCTTAGGTTGAGAGATGTGACCAGAAGGAGGGAGAACCGAGAAAGGATTCGTTGAGTCAGGAGTTCCAGCGAGATCCAGACAGATGTCAGCAGATGACCAAAGTCAAAAGAAGAGTTCAGAATACTGAAGAGAACAAAAATAATACTGGAGAGTCCTACCAAGTAGTAGAGGCCCAGTCCCAGAGCAGGAGAACAGATTGGGTACAGACCTATTCATCAGATTCACACAAGGAGCATCTAAGAGTAGAAGTGATGAAGACTTTGTGTGTTGTTGTTCCAGTAACATTCTGAAGTGTTATAAGTACAGTAAAACCTGTCGTAAACGGAATCTCATGGGACCAGAAAAAATTTCTGCTGAAGCCAGGTTTCCGTTCAATCAAGGTATACTATAATAACTAAACCAGGACATAAACGTATTTGAGACAAAACAACATACCCGTTAATTTATTCACACTACAATCATTGAACACATGCAAACATTACACTGAACAGGAAAAAATTGCAGTACTCACTTTTTTATAATTTTATCAGAATTCTGGCAGTTTTTTTGCACGCAGCTTACTCTCTTGGCTGCCTGACTTTCCACAAACACTTTAGCTTGATAAATTAGAGTAAGCATGTCTGAATCATTTTGTTGCACGGCAAACTCCTGCAGTACCTTTAAACTGTTGGCAGCATCCTGATAAGTCTTCACTCTACACTTTTCTTCTTCTATCACAATGTCATTTTCCTCTTCTTCCTCTTCCTCCTCCTCCTCTCTTCCTTCTTGATTTTCTCTAAAATTCTCAACTAATACATCCATATCCATTGTGTCTGGTTCTGTTTGCACATCTTTGTCTATGTTGATGTAGTCCTCAGCATTGCTGTTACTGAAAGCAGCTTCATTCATGCAATGTTGTAAGTCCTTCTGGTCATTCTCATTTTCTACACTAGGAGTAACGTCTACCATAGAAAATCCTGCTTTTTCGAAACACTTTGTCACAGTTTCTGGTAACAACTTCTTTACTGCCTGACATATCCAAATAACTGCATCTAGAACCGAGACAGTTCTTGCAAGTTCAGAGGCGGATGATGTAGAATCTATATTGACGAGCAAAGATTGCATTAATAATTTACGATAGTGGACCTTAATATTCCGAATGATGCCCTGATCCATTGGTTGAGAAACACTAGTGGTGTTTGGAGGAAAACAAGCAAGTCGAATGTTGGAAAGTTAGAAATGGGGGTGGCATGTTGCATTATCCAAGAACAACAAAACATGCCAGTTTTGCATTTTCATTCTACCATTGAAGGCCATTAACAATTCCTCCATGATCTGTGATGTCATCCATGCCTTTTTGTTGGATCTCCACTCAACGGGAAGGTTCTGTATGTCCATGTTTCGGAAGCATCATGGCTTTGCTGCCTTGACAATCACTAAGGTTTTCTCCTTCTTACCTGACATAAAACCACATAGAAAAACAGTCACTCTTTCTTTGCACAGTTTTCTTCCCAAACATTTTTCACCTTTCAGACATTGCGATTTATTCAGAAGCGCGCAGAAGAACAGTCCAGTCTCATCACCGTTCGCTATGTTTTCAGGTTCATATCCCTCGATTATGGATGGCAATTTAGCTTCCCATTCCTCAATGGTCTCACTATTTACATCACTTGATTCACCACAAAGTTCATTAAAAACTATCTGATGTCTTTTGCGAAAACTCTCCAACCATCCATTAGATGCTTTGAATTCAGTCTTCCCCGGTTTTTCGGCCACTTTTTTAGCATATTCCTGTACCATAGGACCCGACAACTGGTGATTTTTCGCCCTCACTGACAAACCACCCCCATACTATTTCATTAATGTCTTCATTTGCAGTTTTCTTAAGTTCTCTTTTTATTTTTCCATTAGCACAAGTTTCCCACCGCTTCAAAATTTCCGTTTTCTTCTTTAGAATCTCATACACTTCAGTTTTACCAACGTTAAACATCTTCATGATCTGCTTAACAGACAATTTATCTCACTCAATCGCATGAATCACTTTTAATCTTGTGTTAAGATCAAGCAAAACTCTTGTCTTTGCAGCCATGATGATAACTGCTAGACTAAAGTAAATCTGTAGGCCTAGAGCCCTTACTGAATACAATTTCCAGAAGGGGAAAATAATTCTGCTGAATCTCGGTGCAGGTAGTGCAGTACTGTTAGAAGCTTATTTTAAAGAGTTAGGGAAAACAAAATTCTGTAGACTGTATAGGATGCCTAAAATTATTCTAAACGATGCATTCCAGAAGACTGGAAATTTTCCGTATAAAGGCTTATTTTGATTTCCATTGTCCACGTTAGACAGTTTCCATTTAATCCACGATATTTAACATCTTTTTCAGCCCCAAAGTCAAGGGACCTGAAAATATTTCTGTTTAAGACAGATTTCCGTTTAGTAACCATTAAAGGTGCCTAAATCCACCAATCAGTTAAGTGGATCACTACAGCACAGTTTGAATAGTGCAGTTCTAATAAAGACTACGCAGCTAATTGGTGTTGAGTGTTGACCTTCCTATGCCTGAACCCCCTCCCAATCACCCAAGTCGTGGCCAGTCAACATGGCCTGAGATGAGTTGAATTTCTCTACCAGAGCTAGTAGCAGCAAAGAACGGTTATAGTTCTGATTAATATACTGAAATTCAATGCATTATGTCCCTCATATTCCTTAATTTAATATCAACAGAGATCCCACACAAAAGAAATAGAGACTTGTATTTCCTGCATCCAACTACAAGAAAGTGACCAGCAGCTTGCCTTAAAGAAGCATAGTTTCTTTTGGAAGAAGGCCTGTCACTTTTTTAATGATAGAAAATATTGTCACATATCCTGGTAATGCTACAAGTAATTAAAGGGTTCTCTAGATTGATGAATCCATTTACTGGACAATCACTGGGCAGATCTACAAATACAGTAAAACCTGCCTTAAGACACACGAGTAGAGAGGCGCCACAGAGTGTATACAGGGTATCCCAGGAGGAATGGACCAAACTTAGAGAGGGTGTTCCTTATGTTAAAGTATGCTGATATAACCCAAAACACCTATGTCCAAAGTTGAATGGTTACAGAGATAATGGCCAGAGAAGTGTCAAACTCTGACTGGTGTTACACACTTGTTGATTACAAAATACATATTAAAACTGGCAGGAATATGTGGATTCTGTAATGTTAATCATGTACGTAACATCAAACTAACTTGTGAGTGATATGAAGCCATAAAATTGAAGTACAAAATACTCGCTCGCCATGTCATAATTGTCCTTAGGGTTTCCAAGCACTATACATGACACATGACTGGCAAGCGCTGACGTAACATGGCTGACTGAGCGTTCTGGTATAAGCCAACTACATAAGTATGGCTAGGGTGAATCACCGCACTCAAGGACAAACATAGATAAGGCCTCTCCGCTGACAGGTACAGTGCGTGGACCCGCCAGAAGACCACACTTTTCTCGGGCCATTATCTTCGTAACCATTCAACTTTGGACATAGGTGTTTTGGGTTATATCGGCATACTTTAACATAAGGAACACCCTCCCGAAGTTTGGTCCATTCCTCCTGGGACACTCTGTATACAGGGACCAGAACACGTGTATCCCGGTGAATGTAAATTTCAGTTATTCGCCAAGTATGCCCTGAATGGTAAATATTTGCAATGGTTACCCACAATTCAGGCAAAGGATGTCCCACTTCAGATTTTGATTGGCTGGACCAGGCAGGCTGCGAGGTTGTTTAATCTTTCTCCTCCAATTAGAAAAACAAACACCCATGGGTGCAGAGTTTAAGGGTGAACTTTGCCACCTGCTGCGTGGCTGTCAAACTGGAACTTGGGGTATCATAAAACAACCCTGCTAAAATTATGACTTCCCCTGTTAAAGTTACACATTAACTTGACTGATTTACTGATGGGCAGCTGGCTTCAAGCTTCACCGAAACAACCTGCTGTATGTCTCAGGAGGAAAATCTCGAACTGTGAGACAAAAGTGACAAGTGTTGCAGAACCCTAACCATACACAAAACATCAATTGACCACCCCATAAATTGGACAGTTAGAGAACCTTTGTAAATGGGTCTTGATTCGAGACTTGGAAAATTCTTGTGGTGTGCAATACTGCATTAGGTTCGTCTTATCACAACTTCTGCTGCCATTTATACCACCAATCTCTCAGTACTAACAGAAATTAACATTGCTTTGTAGCTACTTCACCCTATAAGTTAATAAGCTGAGATACAAAAATACAGATTTGTTTAAATGATGTTGAAACCTCTAAATTGAGGGGCAGAATAATCCATTCCTTCTTTACAATGCTACCAGTATCAAGACTCTATAGAGCTGACAACAGAATGATTAATGAATGTGGAGCCATTGGCAGAATGATAATTGGCAAGGGAATGGAGTGCTCACAGAAAACCTGCTTCAATGCCACTTCACCCACCATATATCACACATACTTGGCCTGGGATTGAACGCGGGCAGTTGTGATGGGTAGCAAGTGGCTAACTGTCTGATATATGGACTGCTTGGGCTGTATCAGTGTGTTTTATAATGGCCTTTTGTGTAAATTATGAGATTTTCAATCACCAACAATACAGTAAAATAGGTCAATTAAGTGTTACTTGCTATAAACTGGCATGCTTTTAATCAACATTCTGTTGAATAATGGCACACAAACAGCTTGCAAAACCTGGCAAGGGAAAGTGTTATACATATTGTCAT